AAACTAGAACTACATTAGCACAAAGTGAAATTTGGTAGTATATCTAGCTATATTTTGGAACTGCCATCAACAAAATGACAAAGTTTTACCATAACTAGTAACAACAAGCGTAACCAAAATTCAAGAATATATACTTTCATGTAAGCCCAACTCAAGGAGATCAACCGAGAGAACACCTAAGAGAAAAGTCCATATCAGCATAATCTTAAATCAAGGGTAGTAGTACCTTGAATTTTTTACATTCAAGTAAAAAATGAGACATAATAATTTTATTTTTTTTGTCAAATGGATTAATAACAAAGCTGAAATGAACAATGACTCACAATTGTCTAATCAGAGTTGTTGAAGTCAGAATTTCAACCTATGCGCTCATTACCATCTTATAAATACCTCGACCGGCTAATCCATCTTAAGCCTCTTCGCATCTTCAAGGTATCATCAAATGTGAAGCAACGAAACAGTATAAGCATTGATATAAATACATGAATAAGACAATCGAGTTTTAACTTATTATATAGCTTACATTTTAGCACGTGGTTCGCTGATTACTTCACCACTGCCTAAAATAAAAGAAAATGTTTCTTTAGATCTTTCTATGCATGCATATATATATATATATATATATATATATATATATATATATATATATATATATATATATATATATATATATATACACGTGCATTGGTCACATGGATGATTAGCAATAGGATGCGGCTATATGCAAGATTAAAACCACTTGTGCATGACCAAATCAATTTTTTCAATGTATAAATACTATAATACACTTACTTGTTAAAAAAATAGAAAATTCCAAATGTGCAAGACCAAAAATTCAAAAACACAAAAAACCATATCACAAGACCAACTCTCATCTTCTCCATCTTCCAAAACCCACAAGACCTTTCTCCTTCCTCCTCCATAAACCCACAAAACCTAAACATTCAAAATCATCAAAACTCAACAAATCTTACAAAGAGGGCAAGTATGGAGTCAAAAGACATCAAAATAGAAGATTCTACGGTGGAAGAACCCAAGAAGGTATGCATTTATGGGTTTTTTTTGAGCTAGAATATCGTTTTTCCAAAAGAAATCCCGCGCAAACGAATTCGACATGTACATGTCGAATTTTATGGGTAAAAATCGACATTTAGATGTCGATTTTTAGGCATAAAATTCGACATTTTGCAATGTCGAATTTGTGCTATAAATTCGACATGTCGATGTCGATTTTTACCTATAAAATTCGACGCTTAAGTGTCGATTTGTAGCACAGTTTTTCGACACCTTGGTGTCGATTTTCACCAGTTTCAAATTTAATTTGTTTTTCCTATTTTTTACACATTTTGAGTTTCCTTCTGCCTCTCGTTTTCTTTCAAAATCGATTTTCTAGAATGTATATATGCAGTGGCGAATCCAGGATTTTTGCCAAGGGTGTTCGGAATTGAATATAGTAAAAAAAGTAAAAGTTAGAATTTTTTTTTTAATACTATACACATTAAAAAAATAAAAATATGTAATATTTTCAAATTTGAAGGGATTATTTTACAAATTTTGGGCTAATTTAGGAAATATTTAGACATAAAATTGGTGAAAATATTTAAGGAGTGGTAAGCATATTAAAGTTGCAAGTGACAAAATGAGTATTTCATTAACAGATTTTGAATTTTAAAAAAAAACAAATACCCACATAGTTATAAATTTAGAAAATAACTAGTACTTCACCCGTGCGTTGCACGGATATTAGTTTCAAAATGAGAAAAATATATATATATATATATTATTGAATTATATTTGTACAATCTTTCTTGCGTGTTGTCCTTTTTGAGGTGATTTAAATGTGTATGAATCAAATAAAATTTTTTTTTGGCACACACACGAATGGTGAACACTAACAATTTTATTTTTGCATGTCATATTATCAAATTAAGTAGTCGGTGGATACTATTTCAGCTTAATGTTGATAGACTTAGTGAATAGTACAGGTTTGTGTTCTTGTAATATTTGTTTTGTTGAGTTTTTAGCGCTGTCAACACTTAATAATATCTCAACTTACATATGAATTGCAGCGAGTATAAAGATTTTTTGAGTTCTACTTGTTATGGTAAAGGAAAAGGAACAATGAAAACAGAAGTAGAACTTCAAACCTCTTTCATCCCCTGGTTATATGAAAAAGTACTTTTGTTAGTAAGAATTTTAATATATTATCTTTTTTAAATAATATTATATTGCACTCAAATTTATTTAATAACACAGTTGTTATTGTCTGAGGAGACGGAGACAAAGGCAATGTTGTGGCGCTTAGTTCAAGGGCCAAAGCATGAGGTTATAACATACAAAAAGTAACGTGTCAATGGTTTTATATTTTCACCCAAGTATCATGATGATGTTGTTGTGACGCAAGATAGTGGTATTTGTATGAAAGCATGGACTACATTTAGGGCTAAAAAAGGTGATAAAAGGCTCAAGGATGCTTGGACTATGTGGTATGGGGTTATTAAGCAAATAATTGAGGTAGATTATACAATTTTGAAAGAGCAAATATGTAAGTGAAGTATTCCATAGATTGTAACATCTTATTTTATCTTCATTTAGTTTTGGCCGATTTCACATTTGAATTTGATAGGACCAAGTGAAGGCTGCAGCTAATAAAAGAAAAAGTCGAAGCTTGGGTGGAGAGGGATGTTGGGTTTCGGGCACGCATACGCAGCGGAAAACAAAAATTTTACGTGATCTAAACGACTTTAAAGCACACAATTACATGCCCGAAGAATTAAATCAATTAATTGCGTACCTTTGCGCTTCCAGCGAAATTAAAAACAACATACATGCTAATAAATTTAACCGAATTTAAATCAATTAACATGCTCGCAATTT